TTGATCGATCGCGGAAGCGCCGTTTCGAAAGCGCGGCGAAAATAGAAATCTAGGATCGCGTTCCGATAAGAAGAAAACGAGTTCTTCCCACACGGCTAGCGCCGACGTTCGCAGACTTTCCCGTTGGCCGCTCGACTATTCTCACGCGTCCTAATCACCGTCTTGCTATGCCGATCGATCGTTGGAAGCACGATCGCACAAAGGCTACGGGATAAGAAGGAAGAGAGGACGCAGGTAAAAGGAAGATCGGAGATCGGGGACGATCGATCACGGGTCCGAATACCTTTGGCGATGACCGATGATCGAGATGGGACGCGGCAGCACTCACCAGCAGATTGACGGTGCCCGTGTGATCGTCCACCCAAGCCAGCAGAATATCAGCTCCCTTCATGTGGTTTTTCTCGTTGAATCCGATGCCGACGTATCCCAAGGTCTTGGCGATCACCTTGAAGGTGACCATCTGCTCGTCCGAAGGATCCCACTCGAGGATAACTTCTCCGTCGTCGTCGAGTATCTCGCGTCTGGTGAACCTCGGTTGCTCGATGCTTCTTCGGGGTCGATCGTCCGTCGTCTCTTCGGCGCCGGTATACTTGGACGCGCGTAACAGCTTCGCCAATTTGTCCATCGGTGGTATGTACTTCTTCGGAACTCGACTGTCTCGCGACTTTGGACTTCTCTTCGAGATAGGATCGTCGAAGAGGTTGTTCGCTCCGCCGGCGCCGATTTCCTCCATCGTCTCGAATCGAGAATTCTCGTCCGTTTCGACGTCGTCCTGCAAATCCACGGTCCGTGTGGTCTCCTCCCGAGATTCCGCCTTCGGATTCTCGTCGTCGATCGGTCGTTTGTCGAACGGCGCCGTGTCGTTGCCGGACGACCGCGTCGATTCTCCGTTAGAGACGTCGATGTCGAACGCGTTCTCGGTTTCGTTGATCTCCAGCGTGGACGCGGTCGTCGTTTCTTCGGATTCTCCGCCGACGCCGAGTATCCGACTGGCGTTGTTCACCGACTCGTGTTGATCCGGGTCCGGGTTTTCTTCCCTCGAATTGGCAAAGTCCAGCCCGTCCTCCTTGTAAGGGAGGATCTTCCTCCTCGCCTTCCATCGCGCGTACCACTCTTTATCCACGTCCAGCCGTTGTTTCTTAAACGTACCTACTCTGAGAAGCGCCTGCTCCTCTCCGAGACTTCTCTTTATCCTCGATACGACGTCCTTCGGACGATGCCTGTTCCTGTAGGCCAAGGTCCTCATGGTCTCGTCCATGTGCTGCACGTACAGGTCCAACAAATCGCACCTGGCCATCCAGCAGAGGCTCGACACCGCGATTAGCCTAAGTATCAGCATCTTCCTTCGTTTCCTCTTCTTCTTCGTTCGCTCGCCTCTCTGTGAACCTTCATACGATCGTCGAATGCCCCCGCGTTCTCTCTCGATCTTCGCCTCTAGCTTCTTCGCGATCTCCCGCCCATACGAGGCTTCCTTCTCGTTCAAATTCGCTCAGCCAATTAGCGACCGCGCATCGTCGATCGTCGATCGCAAACTTTCCAATTTCCAGAGTGCTTTCAAATTCTAGCGTGCGATGGCGAAGCTTGAGATCGTCGAATCTCACCTCGAACTCCCTTTCAATGTTCCACGTTTTTCGCATTCACCGACATATCCAAACACCGGCCAGTCCGTTTCTCTTCAAAAATTCGTCGCTCCAAACCACGCTCTTGCGAAACGCACGACCGAAGAATTCTCTCTCCTCGCTTTGGTGTTACGCGAACGACAGTTGTGCCGGGACTAATTTAAGCGCGCGGCTGCTGTTGCCCCTGCGGACGCTTGCAGCTGCTTACCTGAGCCGGTCCCCTTCCTGGGGCCCTTATTCAGGCCCGTACTACCGCTTCTGCCGACCCCTTCCCTCGTCGTCGTTCCTAACTCGCCAAGCCACACTTTCGATTTCCAATTCGCGTCGCGTTTCCGCTTTTTTCCGCCAATTCGTTAGGCCGACGGATCAGCGGATCGCGGAAGACCGCGACCGCGATAACGCGTCAAAGTACGCGTGTTCGCAGCCAGAACCGATGGCGTGTGGCGGTCTTTGAACGCTTCCACGACGGCCTTAAGAAGACGCTGGGAAAAAGCAAGAGGAGCTGCTCCTCTTCTTCTTCTTCGACTAGACAATTTCTCGAGTAACGTTTATTCCGTCGGCGATAAGAAGCGGTAAAGACGAGTTTCGGTAAAAGCGGACATTTTTCTAGAAACGTTCCCCTTCTGGCTTCCTCCTTCCGTTCGAGGGCTTTCGGCTCGAAACTTTCGAGCGATCGCTTTCCAGCTATCGCTTTCGAGCGATTACTTTCGGCCGATTTCTTTCGAGTCGACGAGGCAGGAAACGGAAAGATGGCGATGGCGAGGTCTGCCACTGTTTCCTGCGGAAGTCTTTTTTCTCAAACCGGAGACGCGTTTATCGGTGGTGGTGT